TGTAACCTTAAAGCTGTGTGGTTTGGGGCGGCAAACTCTTTTTTTTTTTAATGTTCAAAATATATTCTCAAAAATTATTTTCTATTTGGGATAAATATTTCCCAAGTGGGAGATTAAGAGTACTTGAGTCATGAAATGTCTATTGGTAAAAGAAGAAACTTCTTTTCAAAATACGTTCAAAAGAAAGATAAATACATGTACTATATTAAGCCAGGTAAAAAATATGTGAATATTTGGGCTTTGCCTAAAAGTTGTAACATATTTTTCATCATTTCAATATGATCCATAGCTCCCATAAACATGAAAGTGAGATGGTTTTGAGACAATTTAATTAAAATATTAAATAAGTGAATAATGTGGCTAGATATAATTTCTAGAAGTGGTGGATGATTTGGTGGATAGGAGCCAAAAGAAATGAAGGGAGAAAGCCTAGCTTCTTTAAGGTTAAAAGTCTGGTTAATGTCCTCTATTGGGAGAAACGGTCCTCCACGGGTCTCTCACTCACCTGTACATTTTGCTAAGCACACCAAGAATGTGAGGCCCTGAACATTTCTCAAGGTTGTGTTTGGCACGAGAAACCTTAAGAAATGAGGCAATGTCTCCCTTGACACAAAAAACAGGCTTGCTTACTTCTGGCTATAACATGGTAGGTTCTCCAAGCTCAGAGTTCCTCTACTATAATACAGTTCACTGCCTAAACAGGTATTTATCTAGGCCCTTGGCAAAATTCCCCATGCTCCCCACAATGGGACTACAGGGCAAGGAGGGCACTAACCAACACACAACATGCTGTCTATGACACGGGCAGTAAAATCCTTTGTTTCTGAACCGGCCGCTAGTATCTTCTGTCAACATCCATGAAACCATACCAGGCAAACGTATTAGCCGTTAAGTAGGATAAAATCAAATTCCAGATCCGTTACTTTCTCCCCACCCCTTTTGGTTCAGTTTAGAGTCTTCTACTGAGGCCATGGCCTCTGTGCTGGGGGTGGGGTGTTTGTACGTAGTGTGACAAAGATATGATGTTTGAATAGGAACCCACTCGCCACTCTCAACCCTAGTTTCTTCAACAGACTTAGAAAAAAGAATCTATACTACTCAGTTCCTGAATGAAAAAAGCAAAAGAGAGAAGGAATGAGGGAGTCGAACATGATCTGACCTTCTCTAGCCATGAAAAACCGTTAACTCCTCACAGAAGTGACAGCAAAATAGCCTGGGGCAGCATCCCATGTACCCCTCGGCAGTGGTGTTTCCTGTCTGAAAAGAGATGCTCGTTGCATATAAAAAATGATAACCTCACTGTCGCCAGCTCCTAAGCAGAGAGCTAATCTGAAGCACTAAACTTCTCTGGAAGGCATGGGAGAGGGCCACCCTTGGTAAATACCAGGCAGTTCAAAAATATTACTGGCCTAAGCCCCCACCCAAATACAAACAGGAAGCCCAATGCTTAGTCGACCTGTTTGGATTTTGGCAGACCATATTCCACACATGGGATTCCTACTGAGCCCAATCCACCAAGTAACCAGGAAGAGAATGGCTTTGTGCTCATCTCTGGGGTAAGCATGCAATTCTCACACAATGAAAACTTGGGACACCCACAGGTGTTTTAATTTCTGCAAAAGTTCATATATCTGGACTCAGCTTCCTATCATTTGTAACTTGCTAAATTTAAAGTTTCTGAGTTTATTTTATAGAAGATTAAAAACTTCTTTGGATGGGTCCAAAACATCTGGAACTTATTTATAAAGGTACTGGAAGATTTCTACATTTAATGTGATATAAAACTACAACTGAAATAGATGACATACAAACACATAATGTCTTACAGGAATTAGTTCTTGTGTAACCCAGACAATATTATGAACCATAAAAAGTGTTCCATGTCAGGGGTGCCTGGGGGGCTCAGTCCGTTAAGCATCTGACTCTTGGTTTCAGCTCAGGTCATGATCTCATGGTTCGTGACTTTGAGCCCCACGACGGGATCTGCGCTGACAGAGCGGGGCCTGCTTGGTATTTTGTCTCCCACTCTCTCTCTCTGCCCCTCCCCCACTTGCTCTCTATATTTCTATCAAAATAAATAAAAAATAAACTTAAAAACATATATATTAAAAAGTGTTCCATGTCAACTTTTGGGATAGTTTTTAAAGTCTCTGGTAATTCTTGGTATTATGTGGATTGTGTTTGTTTGAGGACATTCTGAATCAGCTTTTTAAAGTTAGACTAATAAAATACTGAATTAATGAATATTTCTATTCAATTAAAAATTATATATAGGATTTTGCTTGTATGAAATTCTGAGACAGTGCTTGGTGTTCCCCTGGAGGGAAGCTAGAATTCTGTTTTTCTTTTTAGGCAGTTGGGGGGCCAGTGAGATTGACAGAGGAGGAGTCTGAACTTGCATATATAGGAATGAGTACCAGATGTTCAGAGAGGGTAATAAAGAGAAACACATGCTATAATAGGACAATATATAGCATGGTACATTAAAAACCTGCTATGTGGGAACTAATTTGGATGTAAATTTTAAAAAATTAAAAATAAAATTAAAAAATAAGGAAAGAAAGAAAGAAAGAAAAAAAAAGAATTAAAAAAATAAAATTAAAAAAACCTGTTATGTGGGAAATTAATAAATTTCCCTATAAGAACAACATCAAAAGTGGGACGCCTGGGTGGCTCAGGTGGTCGAACATCCGACTTTGGCTCAGGTCATGATCTCATAGCTTATGGGTTCGAGTCCCATGTCAGGCTCTGTGTTGACAGGCTCAGAGCCTAGAGCTTGCTTCGGATTCTGCGTCTCCCTCTCTCTCTGCCCTTTCCCCACTCATGCTCTCTCTGTCTCTCAAAAATAAACATTTAAAAAAAATGTTTTTAATTAAAAGCAAAAAGGAACAAGATCAAAAGAAACCTAATTAAATCAGAAATGTTAACATGACCCTAGGAAATTTTCTTTTACTCTGTCATGAAAGAAGTACTACATAAGGGCTCATGTGAAACAATATAAATTACATTCCCAGCACCCTGTCTTGGTATCAAATATTATTCTCCCACTTCTGAGATGATTTTAATTCCTGATTCTCCTCAGGAACACATATCTGCCTTACCCTCTGAGTGAGGTGTGCCTCTAGACCCTTTATTTTTGGTTATCAGATTATGGTGTAGCCCTTTTGATAATAAATGCATGAATAAAATCTACCTTCCCTGAGGATTAAATGAATTTATATATTTTTAAGAAAGTTGATCCAGAGTTTCATTCCTGGACTCTGAGACATTGTTAGATATTGTTTTCCTCCAATGTAAGTTTTAAGTACAAACCTGAATTTCATTGTGTTAAAACTGTATTTCATCAGGAAAAGGAAGAGGCAGCCTTAGAGAGAAGGTCAGAGAGAAAATGGCCACACTCCAAATAAAAGCAGCTTTCCACCTCCTGTCAATTCCACCAAGACCTCTCTAGCATAAACAAATTTCATGATTTAGACTCTTACCTAAGGAATTTCCCATTAGGAAAATGCTTTAATTCTTCCACATAAGGATACATTTTGTAGGAAAACAGGGAACAAGGATTACCTCCTTTGAAAAAGAATGCAGAGAATAATATGATACTAATTTCTAAGTACCACACAATCTGGAATATCACGAAATAGATAGCAAGGAACTAGGGAAAGATTGCAAATATCAGAAAAATTTAAAAACCAGAAAACACAAACATGAAAGAAACAGAGGGGGAAAAAGGTCCAAGTTAAAGCAGAAAAAAAGTGCTGTTAAGAATTTTTAAAAATTATAAAGTACTTTAAAGACAAAGTACTTAAGGGCACATGAAGAACCTCCTATAATAATCATCAGAATCTGAATAATAAACTGAAATAGTTCCCCTTGGTACACTGTAAAGTATGCAATTTTAATTATGTTATTTTTCCAGCTAATTTCTACTTCAAAAACAGTAAAGTACTACTGCTTACAAGGTGGCAGAGACAAGAACTTTTCTGAACCTCTCATATACACATTGTCATCAAAATTTAAATGAAGAGAAACATGCCTTTGAGTTAAATCACAATTAGCCCTCAGATCTGTTTTTTGAAAACCCACTGTGTGCCAAACACAGGTGGCCTGCACTAAACAACAGTTTATGTTTGTAAAGCAGTTGTCCCTTTTCGGGTTCTCACAAATGACATTTTAAAACCAAGTATTTGTGGGGCGCCTGGGTGGCTCAGTTGGTTAAGCGTCCGACTTCGGCTCAGGTCAAGATCTCACAGTTCGTGAGTTCAAGCCCGGCGTCGGGCTCTAGTGCTAACAGCTCAGAGCCTGGACCTGCTTCACATTTTATGTCTCCCTCTCTCTCTCTGCCCCTTCCCTGCTCATGCTGTGTCTCTCTCTGTCTCAAAAATAAATAAACATTAAAAAAATTAAAAAATAATAATAATAAAAATAAAACCAAGTATTTGTTTCCCAGCATTAATAGCACATGCTGAATGCATCTATTATTATAAATTGCCCCTACTCCGGAAAGTCTTAGTTTTCAAAAGATAAAATATATCCTGATTTTACTTGTGTATATATGTTTTACATAGTTGTGCACAGAAATCAATCAACAATGATAAATACAAACAGATTGTCCAACAAAATAAAACAACAATTTTTGGGGAAAAGAAATGGCACATTTGTCAGGAGATATCCACAAATAATTAATTACTTTCACACAATAAAGATGTTCTCTTAATACCAGAGTCTCATAAGAGGATTCTCATTACTTCCTAACCATCTGTCATCACTCCTCCCAAAAAAACTAATTAGGGTTTCATCCAATCACACATTATAAATCATGCAAATGTGGATGGCAAAAAACACAGTTTAAAGAAGTTAACATTATAACATTTTCTATTTTAAAAATCACGGGCTTCAGAACTAGCCTTTCAGGCTTTAATAATTACCCTGCTTATTTTTCTCATCTTTTCCTGATTAATTATTAGATAATAAATTTAGAAAATTGAACTTAAGAAACTTACAGATAGTAGAGTTTTCCTGCAGCAGGAAGTTCCCTTTTCCGGTAATCTATCCCAGAATCTAGCTGGACAGTCTTACAGTATTCCTATAATCCAAACACATAAATATCTTCTTAAACAAGTGGTGCCTTAGAATTATGATCTCTCTGCTATCCTTTTCCTTTTTTAAAATTTTTAAAATTTTTCCTCAATAAAACAATGAGTTTAGGACAAAACAATATAAGTCATGGAAGATTCATAAAAGTTGAATATTAAGTATATTATCAAGCCCCCAAAAAATCAGTTCAAGAAAGTTAAGATTTGCAGCATGCCTTTCTGAAAGTTTGCTAAAACAGTGCTATCAGCAAACTCCCCACATAACTGCATTCCATTAAAAAAAATTAATTTTTTAATTAAAATTTTTTTATAATTTTATTTTTTTTAATTTAAAAAATTTGTTTAGGTTATTTATTTTTGATACAGAGAGAGCATGCGCACAAGTTGGGAAGGGGCAGAGAGAGAAGAGAGGGAGACACAGAATCTGAAGCCGGTTCCAGGCTCTGAGCTGTCAGCACAGTGCCCAACGTGGGGCTTGAACTCATGGATCATGACCTTAGCTGAAATCAGACACTTGACCGACTGAGCCACCCAGGCGCCCCTCATTAAAAATTTTTAAATCCCAATTTCTGTTACCAGGAAATAAGGAGCTACAGGCTATCAAAAAGAATAACTCATGGGTCTCCAGCACCACAAAGGGAGAGAGTTGGGCCAGAACATTAGTATCCACAATTTAAAGCAAATGATCATATTAAAGTGATGCTGTATGTATACCTGACCTTCACTTCCAAATGACTGCCACCGCCCTTGTCCCTTATTAGTCCCCTTTCCAGTCATCAATGTCATTAGAGTGCTTTCCAGTAGACACCTTCCTTCACTGTGAGTCCCATTCTTCTATTCTCCCTATTCTTTCCTCTCCATTACCCCAGGTTGCAAATGTGCATGGAAACTCATCACACACACACACACACACACACACACACACCTGAAACTCACTCTAGGAAGCATGGACACCACCTATATCTTGGTCAGCTGAGCTCTTTTGGGAAGGGGACAAATATATATTATACACACACACACACACACACACACACACACACACACTCCAGTAGAACAATGGTGAGCAAGGGTTTTCAGAACAAATCAAGAAACATTTACACGTTGAACTTTTTGTTTTCATCCAAAATGAAAACTGCTCTATGAAAATTCATGAGGAAAAAATCATATTTTAACAACTTCATTACTTTTACTAGTGAAAAACTGCTTTTTGGGGGCCAAGGTAATTGTGGCAAACTGTATTTTCCAAAGATGGCTGCAACTGTCTCTCCATCCCAAAATATTGGGATGTTGATATTCCAACCATCAAGAAGTGGGGGCTATGCTCCCCGTCCCCTGAATCTTGTGACTACGATAAGATGATGCTATGCGATAATATCTGATGTGACCTTCAAGGCAGCTTCTTCCTTGTTAGCTGAGACACTTGCTCTGGAACCCTGACCTGTTAGGTAAGCATCAAACTACCTGAAGGCAAGCATGCCAGAGAGAGCTTATAGCAGCCCATACAGAGACGCGACCTGGAGAGACCCTGAGAGGACAGGAAGACAGAGGTGTCTGATCCAGTTGTTCCAGTTGTTGTCACTATGGTACTAAAGGAGCCAGAATTGCCAGCTGAGCTTTTCTCAAATCCCTGATCCACAGAAACCAGGAAAGATAATGAAGCAATATTATCTTAAGCCTCTAGGTTTTTCAGTCATTAGTTACACAGCAGTAGATAATCACAACAGTCATATCTGGGTATGCTGGAAATGTAGCAACATTCTTCTTCTCTGAAATTGCATCCTGGGTTGAACTGCTATCCAAGAGCTGAGGGCTGTTTATCATCAGCACTATAGGCAAGAGATTGTACACAGTGGTAATGAGAATACATTTCTCCTCCTCCTATGCTACAGCTGCTAAGTGGCTCAAGAGAGTAAGATAGGGTAATCAACAATCCCCCTGGGACTGAGGGGCTTCCCCAAGACTGATAGGCTTTTCTGGATGCAGGACTTTGGGTGCTAACACCAGGACAGTCCTGGTCACCTTAGGAATAACCCAGAAATCTGAGCTAGAAGGCTGGAGTATTTTGATTTATATGTCAGCAATTGTGAATTTGTTTAGGGATTATTTTATGTCCACAAGAAGAAGGTATTCCCCTGGGGAAGTCTTCAAAGCTGAGCTTTTGAACTCTACCCATGGCGAACAAGCCCTGACCCTAACAAAGTCATACCACCCTACAATGCTAGACTCACGCAGCCAGTTGGCCTCCCCACACAGACATCCCTAACTTACCATTCCAAGTTGCTCAAATCCACTCCCCAGGTCTCACTCTCAGGACTCAAGCCCCATAACCCACCTAACCAGAAAGGAATATGGTATTGTCAAATACATGGACTCTCCTCTTGCCTCAGATGGCTTCTCAACTTTGAGTAATGTGCTAAACTTGGGAAAACAGGCACTTCCTCTCCTTGCCCATCCTGCAATTGTGGGGGTTCAGCCATCCAGTACAAAAAGGAGACAACTTGTTTAGGTAGCACTTCATTCTCTGTCTCTCTGAAGGAAATCTGTCCAGGTTTTCATAAGCCACCTGTACCGCAGGCAATATAATAAATAGTACTGCAATGTGTTCATGTAAGTATATTTACCGAGGTTCTCTATTTCTTTTAAACCACAATTTATCTTCCATGACCCAATACTCCTAATTTAGCCAAAATTTTCCTTCTTTTTTTTTTCTGTTAAAAAAATAAGGACTAATGGAAGTTACACAAGCTTCAATTTCTCTTTCTGGGTAACTAACTTCTCTCTCATATGAGTGATTAAGCCCTACCGAATGATTGCATTTGTACATTCACTAATCACCACTGAGGAATACCTAATCAGCAGCAAAAGAACTACAACCAAAGCCCTTAGATTTTAGCTCTTAATTGTCTGACAAATACTAACACTCCGTTTATATTTTTAAAGAAAAATAAGCCTCAAATTTTCAGATTTTATTCACTTAAGCTAAGTTCTTCAAAACACTTTGCAGAAGGAGGGTGAAAGCTAAGCAGTTTCCCTGTTAGTGAATCTAGTCAAAAGGGCAAGATCTAATTTCCTAATTTCCAGGGATATTTATAAGACCTGTGACCTCTTATCACCATCCATTTGAAATGAATAAAATTAATCAGCTACCAAAAGAAATTTATTTTTAAACAGTTTGTATATTTACATATACAAAGGACAAATACAATTATACAATCTAAAAATGCAATTAGGAAATTTGGAGAGGAAGTGGAGGGAGGTTAACATACCCATGGGAGCATGTGCATGAGTGAAAGGCCTTGACTTTGCAAAGAAAAATGTACTACTCAAAAAACCATATTCTAGCGGTTTGCATTTTCCTCAAGAGCTATTGTGTATATTTTTAGCAACTGCGAATAATACCATCAGAAAAATAGGCATCCCGCAAAATAACTTTATAAAGCTACTACTGTGGCTTTTCCCTTCCAAATTGGCACAAAAGAACAATAAACATTGTGGAGAAAAGCCTTAAAAACCACAATATATCAACCTCATAAGCAAAAATTGAAGTAATAAAGATTTGCCCACCTTAAATACTCTTTACTATAAAAGTAATATTGCTTATTATGGAAAATTTGGAAAAAGAGTAAAACCATATAAGTCAAAGTTTTACGTCTTATCTAAGTGATTATATTAAATAGAAAATTAAAAGATACATATTATTGAAGTTTTTCTTGACAATATTGGACTGATTGGCTTTATAAATTTTTAATAAGTAAGAATAAGTAAGTAATACAAGAAAAAATGGCTGAGGCCTTTCTACTTCCAGGAATAACTAAGATCTGTCTTTTTACTTATTAAGGCTTTAAAACTATATCTTTTTAAGCTAAAAAAAGTGATCCGTGCTCATTGTAAAAAATTCAAATATTAAAGTGTAAAAGCAGAAATAAAAGTCTATCATCCGCTTCTCAGAAAAAAGTTTGCTTATAGCATATATCCTTCAAGTTTTATATACACATATAGAGATGACGACAGAGAAATTAGGATCATATTTATATACACAGTTGTAAGCTTAATTCTTTCTGATAACTTAAAAGTTGTATGAGAGAAATAACTAGATTTAAATACAGGAAAGCTACACTGAATATGGTACTATCTTGTTTGCCAAGAATACAATTCTGTAAGTAAATGACAAGTAAGAGTACAAGACAGATACTGAACCAAAACAAAGGGAGGGGCGTGGGAGACTAGCTAGGTGTACCAAAAAAAAAAAAAAAAAAAAAAAAAAAAAAAAAAAAAAAAAAAAAAGGAGGGGGAGTGGGAGTCTAGGTGGGGGTACCTTTCTTTGAGGCAGGTATACATTCAAATATGTATGCTGAAGTATGTATACATTCTAAGATATCTGCTTCAATCTCATTTAAAATAATGTGTTACCACTTTTAAGTTTAAGCAATGATATATAAAAGTTCAGTACATAATAGGGGTAGCTGGGTGGCTCAGTCATTTGAGTGTCCAACTTCAGCTCAGGTCAGGTAACGACCTCACTGTTCGTAATTTCAAGCCCCACATCGGGCTCACCGCTGGCAGCGCAGAGCCTGCTTCAGATCGTCTGTGCCCCTCTCTCTGTGCCCCTCCCCTGCTCAGATCTCTCTCGAAAATAAACACACATTTTAAATAATTCAGTACATAATAACCTTGTACATATTTTTAAGCTTCTTATAATGTAAGTATAACACAAGTACAAAAAAGTACACAAGTGGGGTGCTGTGTGGCTCAGTCAGTTAACCGTCCGACCCTTGATTTCAGCTCAGGTCATAATCTCACAGTTCGTGAGTTCGAGGCCCACATCGGGCTTTGCGCTGACAGCACATGGAGCCTGCTTGGGATTCTCTCTCTTCTCTCTCTCTGCTCCTCCCCCTGCTTGTGCTTACCCATGCGCTTTCTCTCTCTCTCAAAATAAATAAACTTAAAATACATAAATGTCCAGCTCAATCAAGAAACAGAACATGACTAG